ATATCAGGCAGGTCCTCACTGCTTTGCTGGTTTTCTCAAAGAGGAGTTATGTGCCGAACATGTATTTTCACTAAACCCGTACACTGCATGTATACATATAATTGGCTTGCAAGGATGGAAAAAAGCTAGAGCAATTTTTGGGTGTTTTTTTATGCAGTTTTTTATACATGATGAAGACTGATATTCATTGTGTTTGGGATGGTTGTTCTTAAAGGCAAAAGACTTAACATGGGTGCCTGGGTGGCTCAGTCAGTTAAGCATCTGCCTGGGTGGCTCAGTCAGTTAAGCATCTGCCTTCAACTTAGGTCATGATCCCAGGGTCCTGAGATCAAGTTCTGCATCGAGCTCCTTGCTCAGTGGGGAGCCTGCTTATCCCTCTGCCTGCTGCTCCCCTACTTGTACTCTGTTTCTCTGACAAATAAATAAATAAAATCTTTAAAAAATATATTTAAAAGAAAAGACTTAACATCCATAGGGTTAGCATTAGGAGCAGAGGTCCATAGCTCTTGAACTGGTTAGTAAACACCAAAGAATTGAGAAATAGAAAGCAGGAAGTGTGGGATGCTTTGAGGAGCACACGTCAAACCACCACAACCTCAGATGTTGTGCTCAAGAAGTAAGAGGGCCAAGAAGAAAACATTAGTCAGGTCTGGAACTCCACTCATTCCAATAATATGCCTGGCAAAGAAATTAGTACCTGTTTTGCAACATAGCCTTAGGGCAAGTCTGGGCAAGCTTTGGGTGGGCAAAAAATTGGCTTCCCAAAACTGACCTGGTTTGCCAAGCCAACCCACATGCATGCCTCACACATGGAATCTTCCTTTTCCCCTCCTTTCTTTCCTTTTTTCCTTCCCACTTCCTTCCTTACTATCCTGCTTTTCTTCCTCTTGCTCCAACCTCCTCCTTCTACTTCTCCCCCCTACCCCTGTCCTATCGGTCTACTCTTCTTTTTCTTTCTTTTTCAGAATGATTTGTGGAAATGTGGAATGTGTTTGTCAGACAACTGCATCGGGGACAGTTAAGTGGAAGCCAGGAGCATGAGTCTTGTGGTCATCGTAAGTTCTCGGGCTTCCCTACCTCCTCATTTGTTTATGTTAGCTAAGTACTAAAATCAAGGTCTTTACTAATTTATAGTTCAAATACACATATGAGTAAATGTGTTTGTGTGTATGTAGAAATATATATGTACATGAATCTGAGTTTGTATAAACACTGTTGGATATTTTTCCAAATGAACTGATGATGACCTCTAATTTGTGGTTTAACAGAAGGAACTTTATGTCCTACTTTTTTCCTCTGGAGAAATTAAAAGATTACTAAGGGTGGTGGTGGGGCAACACTGTGCATATTTGTGTGTGAGTATGTGAGTGTTAGGTAATATTGGGTGGAAAATTTAGGGATATTTTCCTTTGTAGTATTCCAAATAAATCTGTTTATATCGTAGATAGTTACTGGGAATAAATATCTTTCTTCATGAAGGACTTCTTAATTTCCAGGAAATCTTATAATTGTTTATCATTAAGGTCTTTAAATAGACTTTGTTCCATTAGTAGTAATAGCTTCCTTTGAGCATTTACTCTGTCTGGCATTGCCCAACACTTTACATTCTGATGTTTAATTCTATAGGTGGGCATTAATATCCTCAGGAAAGATGAGATTTGGGGAGGCTAAGCAAATATTGTAGAGCAAATAAGTGTACAGCTATTACATGAGTATAGATCTATCTGTAGCCAAAGGACACCGGCCATTGTGACATAAAAGGACTTAGATAGATATGGGCTTATTTTAGAATTTCCTCCTACTAATTTGGGCTTAAAGTTTTCTTATTTATTTAAGATCTTTCTTTTTTCTTAATGCAGGTTAAAACTACTTTTGCATGATCCCGTAGGTTTTGATATGTTGTATTTTCACTTTTGTTTGTTTCAAGATTTTTTTTTTTTTCTCTTTTGATATCTTCTTTGTCCCATTGGTTGTTCAGGAGTATGTTATTGAATTTCCACAAATTTTTGAATTTTCCAACTTTTCTCCTGTTTTTTATTTCAAAACCATTGTGTTTGGAAGATACTTGGCATGATTTCAGATTTCTGAAATTTACTAAGACTTTTTGTGACCTTTCATATAATCTATCCTGGAGAAACTCATGTGTGCACTTCCGAAGAATGTGTGTTCTGATGCTATTGGGTAGAATGTTCTGTATATGTCTATTAGGTCCATTTGCTCAGAAATATGGTTCTGGTCTAATGTTTCCTTGTTGATTTTCCATTTCTAATTTATCTATTGTTGAAAGTGGGGTATTGAAGTCCCCTACTATTATTGAATTATTATCTACTTCTCCTTTCAGATCTGTTGGTATTTGCTTAATATATTTAAGTCCTTCAATGTTGGGTGCATATATATTTATGATTGTTATATCTACTTGATGAATTAACCCCTTTTTCATTATATAATCTTCTTTGTCTCTTGTTACTACTTTTGGCTTAAAGTCTTTTCTGTCTTGCATAAGTGTAGCTGAGCTACCCCTACTTTGCTCTGTTTCCATTTGCATGAGATATCTCTATCCCTTCACTTTGAACCAACATATTCTTAAAGCTGAAGTGAGTCTGTTGTAGGCAGCAAATAACTGGATCTTGTTTTTTTTTTGTTTTACCCATCCAGACTCTCTATGTCTTCTAAAAATTGTTTATGTTTTATCTATTTATTTTATTTATTTTCTTTTTTTAAAGTAAGCTCCATCGCCAGCAGAGAGCCCAACGCAGGGCTGGAGCTCACGACCCTGAGATCAAGACCTGAGCTGAGACAAGAGTTAGACATTTAACTGAGAGCCACCCAGGCACCCCTGGACAGTTTTGTTATAATTGTCTTGGATAAGATTATTTTGGATTTACGTTTTGGGGGTGACCTATTAGCTTCATGAACTTGGATCTGTGACTCTTTCCCCAGGTTTGGGATGTTCCCGGCCATTATGTCTTTAAATAAGCTTTCTACTCCTTGCTTCCTCTCTTCTTCTGGGGCTCCAGTGACCCAAACATTGTTTCTTGGAATTGTGTTCTATAAGGCCCATAGGTATTCTTCATTCCTTTTTTTCTTTTTTCTTTTTATTCTCTGATTAAATCATTTGATTGATCTGTTTTCTAGATCATTTTTTTAAAGATTTTTATTTGTTTATTTGACAGAGATCACAAGTAGGCAGAGAGGCAGGCAGAGAGAGAGGAAGGGAAGCAGGCTCCCTGCTGAGCAGAGAGGCTGATGCGGGGCTTGATCCCAGGACCATGGCATCATGACCTGAGCCAAAGGCAGAGGTTTTAACCCACCGAGCCACCCAGGCGCCCCTGTTTTGTAGATCATTGATTCTTCCCGGTTAACTCTGCTACTGAAGCTCTCTATTCAGTTCTTTAGCTCAGTCATGTATTCTTCAACTCCAAAGTTTGGGTTTTTTTTTTTTTTAATATCACCTGGGTGGCTCAGTCATTGGGTGTCTGCCTTCAGCTTGGGTCATAGTCCCAGCGTCCTGGGATCGAGCCCTGTGTTGTTGGCAAGCAGGGAGCCTTCCTGCTTCTCCCGTTCCCACTCCCCGTTTGTGTTCTCTCTCTTGCTGTCTCTCTCTGTCAGGTAAATAAATAAAATCTTTTTTTTAAAAATGATGTTTTCTATATCTTTTTTTGAACTCATTTGTTCTTGTTTGAACTCTTGTTCTTGTACTGATATTGTTAAATTTTCTATTGGTGTTCTCTTGTAGCTCTCTGAGCATCCTCAGGACAATGATTTTAAATTCTTTGTTGGGAAATTCTTTAGGACCAGTTACTAAGGGTTTTACTGTATTCCTTTGGTAGAGTCACATTTCCCTAATTCTTTGTGATCTCTGTGGCCTTGTGTAGGTATCTGTGTATTTGGAAAAAAAATCACCTCTTCCAGATTTTATAGACTGACTTGATTAAGGAAAGATTTTCACCTATGGGTGGGGCACACTAGAGCCCCCAGGTCTGGTGGCACTGGGCACAGACCTTGAAGGCATGTGGCAGCACTAGGTTGGGGGTGAGAAGGACCTAATATCTTTTTTGCTCAGGCTACTGTGGTGAATATCATTGACAACTGTGTGGTACTTGGTGCAAACAGTGGGTGTCCATAGTAGCTGCAAGGGCTGTTGAGGTTCTCGGTGGTCTTCAGGTCCAGTGGCTAGGGAGCAGGGCAGGCAGCAGTGGTGGTTGGAGCTGGTGATGTGCACATACTCCTCTACTGGGGCCAGCTGCAGGTGCCTGTGTAACGGCAAGAGCTTGTTGTACTACATATAGTTGTGGGGGGTGGTGAGGGGAGACAGGCAACGTTGGTTGGGGCATCTGCAGGGGCCCTGGCTGTTGGCATGTTCTTCCATGGCTGCACAGTTGCCCCCAGGCTTGTGCCTGCAGGGGCACACTGGTGTATAGCTGTAGGGACTGACGGCAAGTAAGCACAGTGGTGTAGGCTAGGACAAAGAGCAGGGCCTGATCTGGGCCCGTAAGCAGGTGGGGAGACCCTGCCCCTGTGGCTCCACAGTCTCTCCCTGGGTATGCACATGGCAGCTGAGGTTAGGGACAGTTGGCAGGCCATTGGGTGCACGTGCACAGAGTGGCTAACTGAGTGTGTACACAGCACTGGGAGTCAGCTGTGGGGGTTTGTGCCGGTGTCTTGTGTTCTTGCAGCTGCAGAGGCCTGGGCTGATTGCTGGTGTAGTTCCAGTCTCTGATGGGGGGCTGAAGTGCCGGGGGTGGGGGGTGGGTAGCAGACAGACTCAGGTGGCTGGCATCTCCAAATGAGAACACCTGTGGGATGAAATCTGGTGAAATCCTCAGGGTTTCTGTTGCATCTGTGCTGACCATTAGTTTCTTCAGTAGCAAACTGCTGGATTAGTCTGCAAATCAGGCCCCTGTGAACTGCGATTGCTCCTGCTGCATGACTACTACTGGTAGCGCCTGCATTCCTAGCTGTCTCTGTCTGTCTCTGCTGTGCTGGACTTTGGAGGGTGAAACCAAAGGAGGACCTATGAGTGGTGCCCCCAAAGGCTGGGTAAGCTGATTGCTCACCCCACTATGCTTTTTCTGACAAAGGGAACTCTTTCTACCTGGGAAGTGCCCTCTTGGCTAGCGCGGTGCTGGCTGGAGGTGGGATGATGTAGGAAAATGAAGCTGTCTTCACTACCTTCTTGTGCGATTTCAGGTGTTTTCTTCCACTGTGTAGTTCAAGTTTCTTGAGTGGATGCCAGAGCTCTCCTAGAGCTCCTTTTGTTTGCGAATAGCTGTCTGATTGTTGATCTGTGTTGCGGGGGCAGGAGACTGCGTGCTCTTATGTCACCATTTTGGGCTCATCTGTTGTTTTGTGGCTGATACTTTTCAGCCTTCTGCTCCAGTGAAGCCACAAATACCCTCATCTACATTGAAGACTCCTTTCTTTTCCCTTTGGGAGAACATTGGCTAGAGCTCAGTCAACCTAATTTCAACATAACTGTTTTTTGAAAATTCCCTGGTAGCCTCCTTTGTCCATGCTTAAATGATTATGGAAGTCTAGAAGGGAGACTTCTAATACATTAACCCATTTTTTTCATGTCAGTGAAATGAAAGTATTATGGGACTCTTCACTCTGAAAAGTTTTCTCAGCTGCTCTGTTACCACTCAACCAAGGACGTCTGAAGGTGAGAATCTGTTCTAGACTGAGGGCAGCTAGTGTACACAGAAATGTCAAACAGATCAGAAATAGATGCAGCTCCTTCAAGCCTCCAGCTGGACGTGTCCTGGCAGAGTGGAATCTGGTCTTCTTTGTTTTGGAACATCAGCTCATTGTTCTTTAATACCTTTTAACCTGGAAAAGTTAAATAGTCTTCAGTAACTGAAAGCACCCTATGCTATCAGGATTAGTGTTGAAATCTTCCAGCCCACTGAGTAGACAGCAGCTAGTCCTTTGATAACTATCTGCAGAGTCTCTGGCGGGGAGACTAACCACATGACCGCTGCTTCCTTTATTTCACCCACCTCTGAGCAGCATGAAGGCTTAATTCGGTCAGTAAAGAGATTTTCAAACACGTGCCTGTAGATTGGTATGAACTGGCTGTACATCAGATTTATCTGGTGAGATTTTTCTAAGATATGACCCATCCCTGAGGAACGGGGAGGTTCAGAAATATAAATAATATAAATATAAATATAAATTTAAAGATACAAATATAGTTCCTCCAGTAATTTTGGTGAATAGCCAGACTTTGGAACCTGGCCCAGAGCATCAAAGAGAAATGTAGCTCCTTCCCTTAACTTACGAACTTTGCACTACTGTCTGTAGCAATGTTGTCCAGTCTGGTAGGTGGTAGCCACTAGCCGTGGATGGCCACTGAGCATTTCAAGTATGAGTAGGTACTTGAGATTTCAAAGACATGTTGACATACAATATTTGAAACATATTGGGTCATGCAGAAATTTTATAAAACCTGATTTCACCTGTTTCCTTGTACATATTTATTTATTGTATATAGACGACGACATCATGAAAGTTCTGTAATCTTTTTTTTTTTTTTATGATTTTATTTTAAGTAATCTCTACTCGGTGTGGGGCTCAAACTTACAATCCTGAGATCAAGAGTCACATGCTCAGGGCACCTGGGTGGTTCAGTTGTTAGGCGTCTGCCTTCAGCTCGGGTCATGATCCCAGGGTCCTGGCTGTGTCTCTGTTAAACAAATAAATAAATTCTTAAAAAAAAAAAAAAAAAAAAGGAGCCACATGCTCTACTGACTGAGCCAGCCAAGTGCCCATCTTTTACATATTTTAATGTTGCTACCAAACATTTAAAATTACATATGCAGCTTGCATTGTATTTCTGCTGCACAGTTCTGATCTGGAAGGTATTTGTCCCATGAGCCAGGGAACTTTTGAGTCATATAATTCTAAAGTTCAAAGAATATTGTAGATGATACAACCCTTTCATTTCATAAATGAGGATACTGGCACCCAGGTGGGTGAAGTGACTTATTTAGGTCACCAGAATTGATGGCAGAGCCAGGATGTCTCTGAATCACATATACTTGGATCCCCATCCTGTGCTAGCGTCTCTCACCCATGCTGCCTATGTTTAGCTGCAGTAGCTCTACTGAGTGTTTCAGGGGTCCTGCAAGTCTGGGGCATAGCAAGTTTCACCACCTACTGCCCCTACTGCAGTTTCTGCTCACAGGTTCCTGTCTGCATAGCTGGTGCTTCCAAAATTCATTACTAAAAAGCCATCTTTGAGCCTAAGCTGCTGTCTCCCCTTTTCACCATCTCACATTAATTACTAGCTTTGACTCTGCACAGAGCTGTGGTTTTGTGAGGTCTTGGTATTTTTCCAAAGCATGGCTTAAAAAACTAACAAATAAACAAAAACTGTCTAGCTAATTAAGAAGTGTGAACCTTAGAAATTCCTTAATCATGTTCCCCCCACCCCAAATGTCTACACATCCTGATTTTCTCTGGCATCTACCAAACAGTGTTGTTTTTCTTCCCTTTTCAAGTACTAGCTCACTCTTCTGAAGGATCAAGTGCTGATGGGTAGAGAGCCACTCCCTGGTTCCTGCCCTTTAACCATAAAAACAAGGTATTTATTTATTTATTTTTTACATGGCATCAGTAGAGACTTGTTTATATAAAACTTTTTTAAACCAAAACCAAAAATATTTTCCTTCTCTCTTATCCTTTAATAAACTATTTGAGAATTTTAAAGATTTTATCTATTTATTTATTCGTTCATTTATTTATTTAGTGTGTGTAAGCAGGGGGAGGGGCAGAGGTAGAGGTAGGGAGAGAGAATCCCAAGCAGACTCAGCGCTGAGCTTGAGCCAATGCAAAGCTCAGTCTCAGGACCTTGAGATCATGGCCTGAGAGGAAATGAAGAGTTGGACCCTCAACAGTCTGAGCCACCCAGGTGCCCCAAACCATTTGAGAATTTTTTAAAAAATAATGTTATTGGTAGCATCCAAAATATTTCTAGAACCCTCTCCCCACCTCCATAGGAATATTTGCTGCTCTAAATGGTGCATTCCAGGAACCTACTTCCCTGGATGATTCCAAGTCTGTTGAGATCCATGTATCTGCGTTTCCAAAATGTATGAAAATCCATTTATGTGTGTCAAAGTCAGTGAAGACACAAAGAAATACCTGACTAATGTCTTTGCGTTTTCATGTATATCATTCTGGGTTCCTTAGATTTACTCTGTCTTTTTAAATGAAAGAGAGATGGGGCACCTGGGTGGCTCAGTGGGTTAAGCCTCTGCCTTCAGCTCAGGTCATGATCCCAGGGTCCTGGGATTGAGCCCCGCATTGGGCTCTCTGCTCAGCAGGGAGCCTGCTTCCCTCTCTCTCTCTCTCTGCCTGCCTCTTCGCCTACTTGTGATCTCTGTCAAATAAATAAATAAAAGCTCTAAATGAAAGACTAAAATGGAAAATGTAATATCAGTTTCTGAAACTGTCTTATTTCTATTTCTATTTCTGTATCTTTCTCATCAGCTATATACCCATATTAGTTTTTAGCTTTAAAATGTTTGAAGAAAATCTGCCTCAGGGTAACAGTCAGAAACTGATTATTAGACTTTGTAACTATTCTTATGATTTCTTGGTAGACTGAATAGGGAACACTTCCTCTAAGTTTGCAGATGTGACAGAATCCTTCTTTCACAACTTCTTCCCACAACTCCCATGTTAGTTTTTTGCCTTTTAAAACTGTGCGGAGAGACATAAAAAATGGGGAGAGGGCTGATACTAAGTCTTATGGACATCATGATAAATTATCAGAGGCCTTGGCTTGGATGGCTCCAAGCTCTCTGGGCGAGACCTGGCTGATGTTCCTCCTCACTGAAGCCATTCAGCAGAAGAGGCAGACGGAATGCCAGCTCCTCGAGGGCTTGCCTTGATGGGACCAGACTGTCAGTGGTGCATTAAATGAAAGAGTTTGTAGAAAAGTTTGGACACCTGTTCAGACATGGTCTTTCATGTGTCATGCCTCAAGCATGTACTTGAAGGTCCGTAGCCAATGAGACTTGTTTGTACTTCTGAGCAGTAGGACTACCAAACCAGTAATGGAAATTTAAAGGAAAAACTTTCTAATGATATATAAAAGCAGAACATAATTCTGCTTCAGTCACCCACTTAAGTCTTCAGTCAGAAGTGGATGCTTCACTCAGGATATAGAATGTGGCACTTTTAAAATTGTTGATCCAGAATAACTGAGCCACTGTTTGCTATCTCAATGTCAAAGCAGCAGAAGTCACATACAAAGATTGAGGCCAAAAATAATTTACATTTTCTGATTTATCCTTCCTTACACCAATTCTGCTTATCAGGGAAAGAAAGACGGACATATTCTGCTTCAGTTTCTGGTAAAGCTGGCAAATAGGACTTGCTTATATATTTCTGAACTAAGAAAATACAGATAGTTCTAGTTCTAACTGACAATGCTTCTTGTGACAAAAACAAAATTTTATGTTTAGAATGGTGTTTCAGCAACTTCCTAACTGAAAGTGAATGTTTATTTTGTCCAGCTTCTTAGTAGTAAAATGTTATTTTAAAATAACCATTGTTACCATTATTAATGAATTTTAGTAGTCATTGTCAACCATGATGATCAAATTTAAATTAAATATATCTTTCTTCCTATTTATAATTTTAGGTCAGCTACTGTAGTCATATGTCTTGTTTCCTATATGTAGTAAATACTATTTTCTACATATGGAAGAGTTCTACATATGGAAGCTTCTTAGCTTTCAAAGAATGACATCTGATTGGTGAGGGGCATGCAAATTCAGTACTATTCTTTCACTCTCAAAATAGAAACTGTAATACAGATCTTTCATTTCAATACAGTATATATAACGGGTGATGTGGTTAAGTGGCAACATCTGGGAGTTTTGCAGTATTATTACAAATTAGAATTCTATAATATTTCTTTTCCCTTCCAGCATTTGTTAATCTCCACTCATCTGTGGTTCTAAGTGTTGGTATAGCTTGCTTTCCTCATAAAATGATATCATTGACTTGTGAAGCAAAATCTTTTAGGTTAATTGCTAGGCCATGGTCATTCTTAGTGGGATCCAATAAAAACAAAATTCATATGGCAACATCATTTTCAAACAATTGCCCACCACATTATGTTTTACTTATAAACTTGCTTACAGAGAATGAATAGTATCCTATATCCACATATGGAAAGAAAGTCACATCTTTTTTTTTTTTTTTAAAGATTTTATTTTTTTATCAGAGAGAGAGAGAGAGCGAGCATGGGCAGGGGGGAGGGGCAAAAAGAAGGCAGAAGCAGGCTCCACACTGAGCAAGGAGCCTCATGCAGGACTCTGTCTCAGAATGCTGGGATATTGATCTGAGCAGAAGTCAGATATTTAACCAACTGAGCCACCCAGACGTCCTGAAAGTCACACCTTGGCATGTCCTCTAGCATTTCATTTATAATTTCCCCGGTAGTGTTGATTTATTGAAAGATGCAGAAAATCTTTGAAAGCTCGTTTTTGAAGAAGTCGTAAATGAAGGTGACACAATTAGCCCCCTTCCAACAGAGTATGGTTTTGTTTTTTTTAAGATTTTATTTATTTGTCAGAGAGAGAGTACAAGCAGGGGGAGCAGCAGGCAGAGCAGGCAGAAGGAGAAGCAGGCTCCCCACTGAGCAGGGAGCCCTATGTGGGACCCCATCCTAGGACCCTGGGATCACGACCTGAGCCAAAGGCACTTAACCAACTGAGTCACGCAGACATCCCAGAGTTTGGATTTTTGAGTAGATGTACCAATCTGATGTTAATTCTCTTGTTGCTTTGTGACCACTAGTATGGATATTTAGCATGTTTATGTTTGAAAATGTTGCCACCTTGGCCTCATTAGAACAAAATTCTAACTAAGCCATCTGCTCAAATACTATTCGTAATAACTCTCCTATTGAACCCCAGGACTGTTAAGGAGATTGTTAGTTTTGATTCGTGAGTTACTTGTTCCTGTCTGATGAGTTCAAAGCTTTTAATTGTTTTTAACTGTTTCATGTGCCTGGGAGAGAAAAAGAAAAAATATCTAAAGGTTGTGTTTTCTACTCTTATGTGCTAACTTTTGTGCTGACAGTATTACAATTAAATTCACTGGTCAGACCTCTGGTAATTTGAGATGTTTTAAAATTTCATTTTTATATAACTGTTACATATTTGGGCAAAGTGACATCTACAGTTTTTATCCTAGAGTGATTTATATCCTAGTATTGAAGGAGATTTTGAAATTACATAATTCAGAACATAAGTTTTAATACTAAGAAATACCCATAGTTCTTTTATTTATATGGTTGAATGACCTTATTGAGATTTACAAAATAACCATATGTTTGTTTCTTAGAATTACCCCTAGACTCTAAATTTGTAAGATTCTTTTTTTTTTAATTAAAGATTTTATTTATTTATTTGAGACAGAGCACAAGCAGGGCGAGGGGCAGAAAGGGACAAGCAGACTCCACACTGAGCACAGAGACTTTATGCTGGGCTCGATCCCCAGACACGGAGATCATGACCTCAACTGACTAAGTCACCCAGGCACCCCTGTAAGATTCTTTTAAAATATCTCATAAGCATCTGGCTACTATCCAAACCCTCATTTAGTCTTATACAGTGGAAAGACACTGACCATCAAATAAATCTTTAATTTTTATGAAGAAAAAAGAACCATGTATCTAGCAAATGTACTATCAAAATAGCAATTCTTAAAAAAAAAATGCTATTTGATACGCTACATCACCTCATTAATAAAAAGGGATTAACAAATGTGTTTGTATCTGCAACTATAAAATAGAGCTATCCTATTACTTTCCTTTTGATGTACAATATCCAGATTATATTATATTTCATGTATATGTCATTATATTAAAATCCATACTGTTTTAGGACTGAAAGACCCCTAGTGATCTTTTACACCAGTGCTTCTCAGATTGGATTTACCTGCACTGCTTTAAAACTTGCTTAGCATAAGCACCCTGTAACAAATGGAAATCTCTGAAATTAGACCCCAGACATCAAAGGTTTAAAAATTCCCCAGGTGATTCAATGGGAGGCCTCGCATAATAGTAAGTGGCCTAGGCCAGTGATCCTCAAATTTGTGCACAAGAACCACCTATAGAATTTTGTTACAACATGGATTCTTGGTCCTTACTCCCAGAGGATCTAATTCAGTACATCTGGACTTGGGTCTGAAGAGCTTCAAAATCCCAGGGGATGTGGACTGAACTGAACCCCACCCCCAGTCATTTGTTAAAGATAGGGCTTTTAGGAGGTAAAGTTACTTGAGGTCATAAAAGTGGGGTCATCCTGTAGGACTGGTGGCCTTATGAGAAGAAGAAAAGAGAACGATCCTTCTCTTTCTACACATGCATGCCCCAGGAGAGGCCATTGTGAGGACACAGTGAGAAAACAGGAAGAGAGCCCCCCTTCCCCCAAAACCAAATTGATCTTGGACTTTCTAGCCTCCACTACTGTGAGAAATAAATTTCTGTTGTGTAAGACACCCAGCTTACGGTATTCTGTTGTGGCAGCCCAAGCTGACTAATAGGCCAAGCGGTGCTGATGCTGGTGGTCCATAGACCGCATTCTGAGTACACTAGCTGAAGCCACATTCCCCAGGAATTCGGTTTCAATTTGTCTGAGGATAAGTGCAGGGCATCATTATTTTTTAATGTTTCCCGGGTGATATTGATGTATAACCAGGACTGAGAACCTCTGATCAAGGCCAATTGCTTCAACTTAAAGCTAATGACACTGAGACTCAAGGAGGTTAAGTGGTTTGCCCTAGTTATCATGTATGCTATTGCTAAATTTTCCAGATTTATAGGGGGAGAAAAAATTTCTCCTGAGGCCACACACTAGTATGTGAAAGATTTAGCCCTAGACCCCAACACTCTCCATTTCTAGAACTGACCCATTCATTTCTCCCCAAACAACGTTAATTTGTTTAATTCAGGTAGATTCATTTTAAGTGGCTTTTTCATTGCAGTACAATCCAAGAATGTTGTATTCTGTGTTCTAGGTCTGCTCCCAAATTGTTGCTATTTGTTATGACATGCTTAATGACTGATCATAAAGTGAAATTACACACACACACACACACACACACACACACAGGATTCATATGTATATATGTACCTCCATGTGGCTGATCTTCACGCTGTAACAGTAATGTGCTCACTATGAATAAAAACACTGCCATCTAGCATTACCCTTTTTTTTTCATTTAAAGATTTTTATTTATTTATTTGAGAGAGAGCATGAGCAGAGAGGAGGGGCAGAGGCAGAGAGAGAGAGAGAAGCAGACTCCCAGCTGAGCAGGGAACCTGCCATGGGACATGATCCCAGGACCCTGGGATCATAACCTTAACTGTCTGAGCCACCCAGGTGCCCTAGCATTGTCCTTCTTGCAAGTAGCAGGAAGTGTAGAAAGTTGAGTCATGCAATAAAAATGTGAAAATTTGTTAAAACTTTTGAATGCCTTAAAAATCTCAGGCATAATGAGGATAAATGACTCAAGGAAGGTAAAAGCTTATTGAGAATTTTACCTCAAGGACAGGAGCTTGGTTAGGTGATAACTGTTAAATATGTAGTGAGGAGCATACTTGGCCCACATGTCAGTGGAAAATTCTATGTAGCTTACACTATCAAGTTTAACAGTGCTGAATGCAGGGTGCCATCAATTTACATTTTGAATAGGAATTTGATTTCCTCCAAAAATAAAGCTTACTTCTCCATATGCGTCAATATTTTGTTAATGGGAAGAATGGAGATTTTTTTTTTAAGATTTTATTTATTTATTTGAGAGAGAGAGATCACAAGTAGGCAGAGAGGCAGGCAGAGAGAGAGGAGGAGGCAGGCTCCCCACTGAGCAGGAAGCCCGATGCGGGGCTCGATCCCAGGACCCCGGGATCATGACCCAAGCTGAAGGCAGAGGTTCTAACCCACTGAGCCACCCAGGCGCCCCTGGGAAGAATGCAGATTTACATTTTAAAATAAATTGCTACAGTTCATGTACAATATGAGAACCTCAAAAGAAGAAGTTAGACTTTTTTGGCCAATGATACAGTATGGAGAAGTGGGAAGAAGAACATGCAGCTAGGACCCAGCCTTCCCATCTCTACCAGTAATTAGCAACAGGAACTGGCAGTCACCACCTATGCTAACCTCAGTTTCTTAGGAAAATGAAACGGTTGGCATATGATTATTCCAAGGTTTCTTCTTTCTTCTTTTTTGCATAGATGAGAAGTGCTTCTAAGAAATGCTGTTTTTCTGTTAGACTGTAGTTGGGTTTCTTATTTTGCTGTTTTAGGGTTTTGTTTTTTTTTTTTTTTTGCCTTTTTAGCATTTTTAAAAACACCAGTGTTTTCCATTTGGCCATGAAGAGCAAAAATGGCCACCCCAAAATGGAATTATTTATAAAAATCATAAGAACTAGAATGCTGAAGAAGCTATCTGTATTCTTTGGAGCTCGTTTAGAAAAATGTATGGAAAAATGTCATTGGGTTACATACTTAGGTTTAATATCAGCAAACTGGCAATTATTCCTGTCATCCAAAGATCATCTAAAGGATTTTATCAAAATGCAAAACAGCCAAGATTTTCTTTGCTTAATATAGTTGATGTCGTTGGCAGAAGAAAAAGTCCTGAGTAGCCTAGATGTTAAATGTTTCATTGGAACTTAGTATTTAGAATACTTGGGCAGCAGAAATTTGAAGTGAAACATTCACTACTGAAACAACTCCACTAGTTCAGCTAATACTAAAACCAAGTATTACTTCTTCAAATTGCATATCCAACAGTAGTACTTAGAAATAAATATATTAGGGGCGCCTGGGTGGCTCAGTGGGTTAAAGCCTCTGCCTTCGGCTCAGGTCATGATCCCAGTCCTGGGATTGAGCCCCGCATCAGGCTCTCTGCTCAGCGGGGAGCCTGCTTCCTGCTCTCTCTCTGTCTGCTTCTCTGCCTACTTGTGATCTCTGTCTCTCAAATAAATAAATAAAATCTTTAAAAAAATAAAAATAAAAAAATAAATATATTAATGAACTGGTAAATGGAAAGCAATCTTCACAATATTTTATGTAAATGAAAGTAAATATAAAGCAATCTTCGCAATATTCTATGTAATTATTAAATCATTATCGATTATATGGTAAATTAATATATTATCAAAATCTAATGCTTCATTTGGTTCAAGTGCCCATTTAGTAACACTTCTACAAAATGGTGGTCCCTAAACTTTCTATATATTGGAATCACAGGGCTTTAAACACTCTAGTCAGTATGCTTTGATTGGCAAAGGCCACCAGAAGCTCTAAAAGCTCCCTAGATTGTTCTAATGCTATGGAACATTGGTTCTGACTTTGGCTGACTTTGGTTCTGACACTGGAACCATCTGGTGTATTTAACAACATATGGGATGCCAAGGCTTCATTCTAGAAAGAATTAAATCAGAATTTCTGAGAGTGAGCCTAAGCATTGCTGTGTTTTTAGGTACTGCCCCCCACCCCCCAGTGATGCTAATATGGCACTAGAATTACTACTACAGAATATTGCCAAAGCAACTCTTTATCCTCCTAAATACATTAGCATAAAGTCCCATAAGGCTTAGCTTCCAAACTAATGCAAACCTGGCCTAATCTCAACTACTTTTAGCCGCATTGTGAGTGAGTGGGGTGCATGAAGACAGAAATTGGGTTATTTCTTGGAATAACACACTGAAATAGCACATGAACATTGGACAACCAGATTCCTGGGCCATGAACCTGTCCTCAGAATCTTCTTAAAGCAATTCTTCCTTAATTGCACTTTTCTGGAAGAAGCCAGAATTTGGTAAAAAGAGGAGGATTAAGTACTATGGAAGCGCCTGTTATAAGGAATCACTAAATTAAATCATGCCTCAGTGAACATCCATTCTAAACTCCTCAGTGATGTTGACAGTTCTTTACAGTACTCAAAAGCCACATTTAAGAAAAATATTATTATTAATATTAAATATGCTTCAGCTACTTTCTGTTCTTTTCATGACTCAAAAGAACAAACAACATCAGTCATTCATGTTGAAAATATCAATAATCATTTGTTTAATTTCAGAGAATAGTGCTGTCCCTTAGCAGGTATATGGGACACCTTGGGTGTTTTATTTTATTTTATTTTATTTTATTTTATTTTATTTTTTGTTTTTGTTTCGTTTTCTCAAGAGAGGAAGGCAGGGGGAAGGGGCAGAGAAAGAAGGAGAGAGAATCTTAAGCAGGTTCCATGCCCAGTGTGGAGCCTGACACAGAGTTCAATGTCATGACCCTCAAGACCTGAAATCATGACTTGAGCCAAATCAAGAGTCAGATGCTTAACACACTGAGTCACCCAGGTGCCCCCACCTCGGGTAGTTTTAAAATAAATCAGTGATATAAAAATGATCTCTTCAAAAGTCAATTGAGAATGGAGAATAACTTTGACCTGAGGACACTCAAACTGAAAGTGGGGGTTTTAGGTATGAAGTTAAGATAGACCAAGTGATTTAGTAGAAAGAACCTGGATTTGATATCAGAAAACGTAATCCTGTGTACTCTGAGCCACTTATATCTTGGGAAACTCACTTCAACTCTCTGAGCCTGTTTCTAGTCAAATGAGCCTAGTAATGCTGACATCAGTAACCTGGAATACATGATCTGTTAGGAGATCTTAAGGCCAGGAAATATGTACCGTACCTGAATAAGAATTATATATAAAAGCCTTAAATTGTGACTGAGGATGGAGAGGGTACAATTCAATTATGATGAATAATACTGGTAAATGTTTTCTTTTGTTTTAATGATGAAAACTAAGTTCAGAAAGCTTGAGTCATCTGAAGATGAAGCAGCAGCAACAGAATAGTCTGGGCAATGGAGAGGGGCCGGTCGGCACTGGGCAAGTCAGGGAGGCTGTGGGTATGAGTCAGGGGGGTTGGAGAAGCCTGGGGTAGATGTCTGAGCAGGGCTGAATGCTCAGAAATGGAAGGGAAACTGACGACTATTACTAAGTAAGTGCAACTCAAGGGCCATTGGGCTGGAGCAAACCAAAATGATCATACCTCTTCAGTGACTCAAAGATGAAACTTTCAGGTGTAGGGTAAAGCAGTTTTACAAATAGACTATTTGGCTTAGGGAGAGAAAGAAAAAAAAGCATTTCAAGGATGAAGGAAGTTGTATGGTCATGGACCAGCTGGCTGGTTAGTAAAACCTAAAGGGCAAATTTGAGTTTATTGAATTAAATAAGAGAACCGAAATTATGTGCTTTTAACAGCCCTATAAAATTGGGGTCCATTAGGCTAGAGCCAAGAATAAACCATAAGGACAACTATATATATATATAGAGAGAGAGAGAGAGAGAGAGAGAGAGAGAGTTAGTTTGTTTTCTTTGTATATACATATATTTTTTTGTTT